AAGTGGGCGGGGTCGAGCGTGCACGGGGCGGGGCTGGGCGGGAGGGGAGTGACTACTGCGCAGGCGCAGAAAAGGCCGTCCTGGCCACTGGACTCCGTCTGTGGGTGACTCATCTCCTTAAACGGTGCAGCCTGCGTGACACGGAAACCTCAAGGGTCTTGACATTGTCTGTGCATTTTTATACATGTGCACACATGCAGATTTACATTCATGTGCTCCACAAGACCTGTACAATTTGTCCTCCCCCTAGCGGTCCTCTCAGCCAGCTGCCAGCTTACACTAGGAGAAGCATTTCTCCGCAGGATTCACGATTCTCGTATTTTTTTCTTTTGAACTAAAAACGAGGGCTGGCCACTTAGCCTAGTTGGGGAGAGCGTGGTGCTAGTAACCCTAAAGTTACGGGTTCGATCCCCGTGCGGGCCACCCCCCCCCAAAAAAAAATAATAAAAATAAATTAAAAGCGAAAGAAATTTCTATTTTCTCGGTTGGTTTCTGTAGCCGAAACCGAAATACCCTAACCGCTTTCTCTCGGCGACGGAGATTAGGTGGTAGTGTACCCACTTCTCACACATGGAAACTGAGGCCTGCCAAGGGGCGGCCCCGCATACAGGGGACAGTAGCAGAGAAGCCGGCGGGCTCCCGCGCCTGCTTCTTTGGAGGACAGCCTACCCGGCCGGGTATCTCCGATTCGTACCGCCTTGGCTCCTCTGGCATCCTCATAGTCCTGTAAGGTTGTTCTAGCATTTTCCTGGGTGGCATGGCAGGACATGTAATTCTGAGATGACTGAAGAAATGGACTCCCAAGTCCCTTTCGTTCCCCCAACACAGGTCCACCTAGAGCTGCTACAAAAAATGTACCAGGGCTAGCCGGTTAGCTCAGTTGGTTAGAGCGCGGTGTTTCATTAAAGGTCAAGGGTTCAGATCCCCGTATCGGCCAGCCCCCCACCCCCCATATGCATATTCCGTCCACAACCGTGCATCTGTCGTTTTTATAATACGATCACTTACTTCCCTGGCCTTCTGGGGAGAGAGAATGCGGCCCACACCGAAGTGACCGGTACTACCTGGGGGTTCTGTAGTTCTTGGTCAACTGAAAAACAAATCGTGTAAATGTTAAAAGTCCCAGGCCCCTAAGACTTAGCTTCCCCAGGCCTTGCGGGCATGCGCTGGAGACCTAGGTCGGGCAGGTTATAAAGGCGCCCGGGGCGGCCGGGCGGCAGCGCACACCAGGTGCGTGGAGGCGGATTGGGTGCCAGGTCGGTGCCAGGTGGGTGCTGGAGGCGCGGTGCGCCTTGGGCGCTCGCATTTGCATAGGTTGTTTTACCACGCCTCCAGCTTTTAAACCGAGACTTCTTTCCAAAGAGCTTTGTAAAGTGGGTTGAAGTCTCACTGAACTGGTGTGAATTTTTCTTCTGAAATACTTGGCAACATCTCTCATTAATCCTCTCCCCGAGAGCCAAGCAGCCAAGCACCCTAATTCTAACAATTGAAATCTCCTTTAGAAATAAAGGCAATAAAAACAATTTCTGTTTGTATAGTCCTTTGCAGTTTCCAACAAGGTTTCAAGTATATATATGTTATTCAATCCTCATCACAACTGTAATCCATAGGTTTTTATTAATATTTCCACCATCATTTTTATTATTCCCATGTCAGAG